GGGGGGGGGTGTGGGTGTGGGGTGTGTGTGTGTGTATTGATTGGTACTTGGGTTGCTTCCATATCTTGGCTAGTATAAATAACGCTGCAATGATCATAGGGGTTCATTAACCAGTTGTATTCTTTGAGATAAGTTTTTTCTTTCCCTTCCTTCTTTCCCTCAGACTCGGTTTAATCTTTGTGGTTAATGATTCTGAAGATGTGGATGGGATGCAAGATGCTGGAGTGGCTATTATGAGAGCATATAATTATGTTGCCCAAGAAGTGGATGATTATCACGCCTTCCAGACTCTGACACATGTACGTTTTCATTCAAAATGGTGAATAATTTTTTAAATCTAACTTACTCTAAGGAACAGTATGTGGTAAGGGGATTCAATATATCTGTAAAGAGAAAAGTTAAGAAATTATTCACAGAAATTTTGTGCTTTATGTTTCAGGATTTGCCTTTACTTGATTGATTCACTGTGTTAGTAGTAGATTGCTGTGATTTTAGCTAAGGTAACATTCCTTATATTATATATATTAATATATTATATATTAGTATACATATTAATATATTAATATATTAATTAGTCTTCTGCCTTCTGGTGAGTTGAAGTCACTATTTAGTGTCTTTTGGTAAATGTGATGTTTTCTACTTGTTTAAAAAAAAAGGTTTGCTTCCCCCCCCCCTTTAAGACCATCATGATATTTTAATTAGGATTCAGTTTACTATACAAGTCATAAAATTCTTATTGTCTGTTTTTTTCATATTAACTGGAAGCTTTTATTTTATTTATTTTTTATTATTATTTTTTAAATATATCTTTATTGATTTCAGAGAGAGGAAAGGAGAGGGAGAGAGAGAGATAGAAACATCAATGATGAGAGAGTCATCGATCAGCTGCCTCCTGCACGCCCTGACTGGGAATCGAGCCCGCAACCTGGGCATGTGCCCTGACCAGGAATCGAACCCTGATCACCTGGATCCTAGTTCAATGCTCAACCACTGAGCCACGCCCAGCCAGGTTAACTGGAAGCTTTTAAATGTCCTAATTTTATATATATCTAAACTTGCTCAAGTTCAAAGAACTCTTGTGTTTGTTTCTATTTTTGAATATAAAAAACTTAAATTAACAAAAATTATTTTATTCAGAAGAAATAACAGTTCTTTTATTTACAGATTAGTGGTAATTATTGAAAAACCGTCTTTAAAACAATTGATTTTCACCACTTTTATTTTACCTGAAAACATGAAGTCAGTCTGCTGTTTGTTGTGTCTCTTAGGTTTATTGTTTAGAATTCAGTCATGGGTATTTTTTACTAGTTAAAATGCATTATTTATTTGGCTAACATTCACCAAAGACCCCCCATTTACCACACCTGGTATTAGCTGTGAGGGATACAAAAAAGAGTAAGATGTCACCTATGTGACATCAGGTGCGGACACCTCCAGACATTGTGGGAAGCAGAGATGGCTGTGGCAACACTAGGACTTCAGACCACTAGGGATGGCCATGGGCATTTTTATGGAGTGGGAAGTTGTCTCAGCTGAGTGTAGGAGGAAAAACTATAGTAAGTTGAACAATCGCTGCAAATCAGAGGTGGTGATTCTAAGTTGTTACTATGACTTGAGTAGAGTATTTGAGAGCAGAGTGGAGAGGGGAACTATGTTATTACAGCCATTTGGCTAGGTAGCAGTTGTCCAGATCACAGAATTAAACTACAGTTAAAAACATCATTCTCAGTCATGTATGGAGATGGATCTGATGAAGGATAAAGAAAGCAGCAGGGCTACCAGGTGATGAGCTATTGCTGTGTTCTCTGAGCAGTGATGGTGATGGGAGTTAGCAGTAGGACTATGGAGAATGAAATAAGTTCAAAAGAAGTTGCTGAGGATGGTAAGTATTTTAAAGTCTGCTTTCTAAAGGTTTCCCCCCCTCATAGCTATGTGAAGGAAAAGATAATATGAGTTTTTATTTATTTATTTTTATTTTTAATTGCAAAAGTAAAAGAAAAATTTACTGTAAAATTTATTTTCAAATAATATTAAAGTGTGTCAATAAAAAATTTACCTCTCTCTCCCCTCCCTAATCCTACTCCTTAAAGTTAAACACCATTAAAAGGTTGCCTTGTATCCTTTTAGGTGTTTTAACTGTGCATATATAGACACAGTTCTGTTGTTTGTTTTATGTTGGCATTTAAAAAAACAGGGATTATGCCATATATGTTTTTCAACTTGTTTCCTCTAAACATCACGGACATGAGTTCTTATTTCAAGGATTACTTATAAATATTCAGATTTTGAAAAATTTAACACAGTTTTGCATTTGGGACTTAATGTGAGTATGAACTGATTGGGTCATTTTAGCATGTTTCTGACATAAGAAGGCACCTTGAAAATACTAGCAAACAGAATACAACATACATTAAAAAAATAATACATCACTATCAAGTGGGGTTCATTCCAGGGGCAGAAGGATGGTGCAACATCTGTAAAACAATCATGTGATACACCACATTAACATCCATTTATGATGAACACACTCAATAAAATAGGAATAGAAGGAGAGCACCTCAACATGATAAAGGCCATATCTGATAAACCCTCAGCCAATATCACACTCAATGGTAAAAACCTGAAAGCTTTTCATCTAAAATGTGGAACAGTACCAGGATGCCCACTCTCCCCACTCTTATTCAACATAGTCTGGAAGTCCCAGCCAGAGCAATAAGGCAAGAGAAAGAAATAAAAGGCATGCAAATAGGAAAGGAAGAAGTAAAACTGTCACTTTTTGCAGATGACATGATTCTGTATATAGAAAACCCTAAAGACTCCACCAAAAAAACTATTATACAGTTAAGTTGCAGGATACAAAATCAGTGTACAAAAATCCACTGCCTTCCTGTACACTAACAACAGAACTTCAGAAAAATAAATGAAATAATTACTTTTGCAGTTGCAACCAGAAGAATAAAATACCTAGGAAGAAACTTAACAAAGTACGTAAAGACCTATATACTGGAAGTTACAAAACGTTATTAAAAGAGATTGAAAAAAACACAACAAAATGGAAAAATATCCCGTGTTCATGGATTGGAAGACTCGGCATTGTTAAGATGGCCATATTACCCAAAGCAATATACAGATTTAATGCATCTCCATCAAAATCACAATGTCATTTTATAAAGAAATAGAAGAGAAAAACATCAGATTTGTGTGGAACCACAAAAGACCCCAAATAGCCAAAGCAATCCTGAAAAAAAAAAGAATAAAGCTGGAAGTATCACCCTACCTGACTTCAAATTATGCTACAGAGCTACAATAATCAAACCAGCATGGGATTGGCACAGAAACAGACACACAAACCAGTGGGACAGAATAGAGAGCCCAGATATAAAACCACGTGTAAATGCCAAATAATTTTCAACAAAGGAGCCAAAACATTACAATGGAGGAAAGAAAGCCACTTCAATAAATGGTGCTGGGAGATTTGGAAAGCCACATGCAAAAAAATGGAACTAGGCTACAGTTTGTCCCCACATACAAAAATTAATTCAAAATACATCAAAGACCTAAGTATAAGATCTGACACAAAGTGTGCAGAAGAAAACATAGGAACTAAACTTAATGGACCTTGGTCTTAGCAAACATTTTATGAATTTGACCCCAAAGTTTAGCAGGGGAAGTAAAGACAAAAATGAATGAATGGGACCATATCAAACTAAAAAGTTTCCACACAGCAAAAGAAACTGACAACAAAACAAAAAGGCAGCCAGCCGGATAGAGGATGATATTTACAAACACCAGCTCCAATGAAGGGGTTAATTTCCAAAATACATAAAGAACTCAAAACTCCACCAAACAAACAGTACAAAAAATAAATAAAAGGCACTCCTCAAAAAAGACATACACATGGCCAACAGATATATGAAAATATGCTCAGCTTTACTAGCTGTTAGGGAAATGCAAACCCAAACTGGAGTGAGGTACTACCTCACACATGTTAGAATGACCATTATCAACAAGATGAACAATAACAAGTGTTGGAGAGGGTGTGTAGAAAAGGGAACCCTCACTCACTGCTGGTGGGAATGTAGACTGGTACAGCCACTGTGGAAAACAGTCTGACGGTTCCTCAGAAAATTAAGAATAGAGCAGCCATACGACCCAGCCATCCCTCTCCTGGGTATCTACCCAAAAATCACAGTGTATTCGCAAAGATATTTGCACCCCTATGTTCATTGCAGCATTATTCACGTGGGTAAGACACGGTGACAACCAAAGTGTCCTTCAGTACAGGAATGGACAAAGAAACTGTGGAACATGCACACAGTGAACACTACTCAGCCAGCCATAAGAAAGGATGCAATACTGCCATTTGCGACAACAGGGATGGACCTTGAGAATATTATGCTAAGTGAAATAAGTCAGAGAAAGCTAAGAGCATATGATTTCGCTCATATGTGGGATATAAAACTGAAACTTGTGGACGCACACAGCAGTGGGGTGGTTGCCAGAGGGCAGGGGTTTGGAGGGGTGGGAGTTAAAGGGGGCCTAACCTATGGCGACAGGAGGTGGTTTGACTGGGTGGTGGGCGCACAGTGCAGTGTACATATCATGCATCGTAGAAATGTACACGTCAAACCTGTATGATCCTGTCAACCAATATCACCCCAACAAATTTGGTTTAGAAAAAAGAAGGCATCTTGAGGTGCATGGAAAAAAGAGAATTGCTGTTCCCAGTGGACTGCCTTTGACCTTTTAAGAAAAATAGTCATTTTTTCCTCTACATTCAGAAATCTTTTGTAATAAACACTCTGAAATTTGAATTTAAAAGTGTAGTTGATTAACCAGTTTTTTCTTTTCTTCAGATATATAACAAAGTAAGGACTGGAGAAAAGGTGAAAGTCGAACATGTGGTCAGTGTCCTGGAGAAGAAATACCCATATGTAGAAGTGAACAGCATTTTGGGGATCGATTCTGCTTATGATCAGAATCGGAAGGTAACAATCATTTTGACTGCAACACTGTACTTTTCTTACCTCCCTTTTTTTGAGGTGGTTGTTATTGGTGCTGGTTGAAGTATTTAGGTACTTAGCATTTAAAAATTTAGAAACCAGATCACTTTTCTGAGTTTGCAAATGTAGTTTATATTTCATTTTTGTGAAGATACTGATTCTTTAGCCAGCATATTAACTATTAAATTGAAAAGCCTTTTCTTTTTCGCAGTGCAGTGGTAGTACTTGTCTGGTACATGCCCTGGATAAAATCTATTGGAGTATGATGTATGGTTGCCAGGGTATGAGGTATAACTTAATGTGTGTCATTTGTAGTTATTCAGCCTAGAGGTGGAAATGTCTTAAGAAATGTAATAAACAGAATGGCAAAATGTGGTAATAAAGATACGGAGAAATATTTAAAAATTTTATTTAAAGATAGTGCTTCTTGTGCTACATTAAGTACAATAAAGGGCTCTTGCCTATTGCAAGCAGGAACGAGGTGGTCAGTTTATTGAAAATAAATGTTACAGCATTGAGTCAGATACATTTTCAGAACATTTTAATTGAAAACAATAAAAGGGTGTTCGTTTACCAACTTCTTTCTTTTTTGCAAATGAAGGACAGTCTTTCAGTTTGGAGAGCTGAGCTGTTACTCCTTTAGAAGTCATACTCCTAATGAATTATCTCTTTCACGTGAGCACAGACTCCTGAGAGTTTTATCATCTTCCTCCCCCCTCTGTAGTTGTCTTACCCACATCCAGTTCAGCACAGGCTGGTTTTGGTTTCTTACCTCTTTGAGTTTTTTAAGCCTTTCAAGTTGTTTTCCTGGGGAGACCAGCTTTTTTTTTGCAGTCACATTTTGTTGGCTGTATAGTATTAGGTTTTTTCATTCACTAAGGAAAATGGTTTAGAAACAGACACACCTGATTTTTTGTAAACACACAGCTCAAATGAGGGGAGCAAATGTGTGCGCATTCTAGAGAGGAGCTCACAGTGCAAGAACTGAACATGCCTTGTAGCAAGCCTTATGTTGTGTTGATCGGTTAATTTATATTGGTTAAGAAATTTGCTATGTAAATTGATCCTGGTTTTAGAGGGATTTTAGCAAAATACTATTTAGTAAAAACAAAACTCAAAGACTTAACTAGAGACATTTCTGAAATACCTTGAAATAAGGAATAATGGTTTACATTTAAACACATTGTAGTGCTGGGTAACTTCTGTGTGCCAGACTTTATAATACAAAGTTGAACAAGAAAAAGTGGCACCTATTCTTGGAGTGTCACACAGCCTACTGGAGAGTGACACACAATAAGAGCATTAAGATTTTGGTGTTTGTGATGTTAGTGTTCGCACATTGTAGGTGGGATGCCCCAAAAAAGGATGGGCAGCTCTGCCAGTTTGGGACAAGGTGATTGTTGGAAACTTCCTAGAGAGGTGGTGATACTTACCTGTCCTGTGAATGAAAGTTTTTAGAGGGATAAATGAAAAAACAAAACACAAACCCACAGGTTTATTGTATATGTAAAGTGATAGTGAATGTAAAACTAATTAAAATACTGGCTCTCTACCAATACTTTTGAAAAGGTAAATTCATACCAGGAGCTAGAGGGTCTGTGAGGATGACGGCTTATTTTACCTCTTTACTATTTCTCCTCTTTACTATTTTTTGTTATGTGCTTTAGTGGGTTTTGTGGTGTTTTTTTTTTTCAGCCAATGATAAGAATTTCCCTCCACCCAGCTTTATTGAGGTATAATTAATTGACTTGTAACATTGTGTAAGTTTGAGGTGTAAAGTGTGTTGATTTGATACATGATTACCCAGTAATGTTAGTTAACACCTCTATCACCTCACATAATTACCATTTTTTGTGGTGAGACTATTTAAGATGTACTGTCTTAGCAATTTTCACGTATATAAAACAGTATTTTAAGTGTAGTCATCATGCTGTATACTAGATCCCCAGAACTTACTCATAACTGGAAGTTTGTACATTCTGAACAGCATCTCCCCATTTATGCTGTACTCCAGCCCCTGACAACCACCATTCTAATGTCTGTTTCTATGAGTTCAGCTCTTCCACATCCCACATATAAGTATTTGTCTTTCTTTTTCTGATTTATTTAAATCCATGTTGTTGCAAATGGCGGTACTTATTTCTTTCTCATGGCTGAATAATATTTCATCATATATATCTATGTATGTACACACACACAGACACACCCCTTCTGTGTCCATTGAACTGCTGACAGACACTTAGGTTATAATGCTGCAGTTCATTTGGGAATGCAGATACCTTTGAGATGCTGACTTTATTTCCTTTAGCTATGTATCCAGAAGTGAGATTGCTTGATCATATCATAGTTTATATGAAAGTTTGTGAGGAACCTCCATACTTTTTTTCTGTAGTGGCTACACCAATTTACATTCCCACCAACTGCTAGAGGGTTCCCGTTTCTTCACTCCTTCACCAGCACTTGTTCTCTCTTTAAAAAAATATGTATGTCTTTATTGACTTCAGAGAGAGGAAGGGAGAAGGAGAGAGAGAGAAGGGGAGAGAAACATCAGTGATGAGAAAGTCCTTGATTGGCTGCCTTCTGCACACATCCCCACTGGGGATTGAGTCCACAGCCTGGGCATGTGCCCTGACCAGGGATCGAACTGGGATCTCCTGAATCCTAGGTCAATGCTCAGCTGCTGAGCCACACCAGTTGAGCTCTCTTAACTTTTTTTTTTTTAATTTATCTTTATTGTTGAGAGTATTACAGGTATCCCATTTTCCCCCCCAATTGATCCCCTCCACTTCGCTCCCACCCCCTTCCCAGGCCTTCACCTCGTTATTAACTGTGTCCATGGGTTATGCATATAACTTCTTTGGTTAATCTCTTCCCACCCTCCACCCCTCTTCCCTCTTTCCTCTGAAATATGATCGTCTGTTGCATGCGTCAATGTCTCTGGATCTATTTAGTTCGTCAGATTCTTTTGTTCATTAGCTTCTTTGTAAAGAAGACCCTTCAACATTTCCTGTAGTGCTGGTCTGGTGGTTATGAACTCCTTTAGCTTTTTCTTATCTGTGAAGCTCTTTATTTGACCTTCAACTCTAAATGATAGCTTTGCTGGGTAGAACAATCTTGGTTGTAGTTCCATGTTTTTCATCACTTTGAATATTTCTTGCCACTCCCTTCTGGCCTGCAAAGTTTCTGTTGAGAAATCAGCTGACAGTCGTATGGGTGCTCCCTTGTAGGTAACTAACTGCTTTTCTCTTGCTGCTTTTAAGATTCTCTCTTTGTCTTTAACCTTTGGCATTTTAATTATGATGTGTCTTGCTGTGGGCCTCTTTGGGTTCCTCTTGTTTGGGACCCTCTGTGCTTCCTGGACTTGTAAGTCTATTTCTTTCCCCAGGTAGGGGAAGTTTTCTGTCATTATTTTTTCAAATAGGTTTTCAATTTCTTGCTCTCTTTCTTCTCCTTCTGGCACCCCAATAATACAAATGTTGGGCCTCTTGAAGTTGTCCCAGAGGCTCCTTATACTATCTTCATATTTCTGGATTCTTTTTTCTTTTTGCTCTTCTGGTTGGGTGTTTTTTGTTTCCTCATGTTCCAAATTGCTGATTTGATTCTCAGCGTCCTCTACTCTACTGTTGATTCCCTGTAAATTATTCTTCATTTCAGTTCCTGTAGCCTTCATTTCAAATTGGTACTTTATTATGTTATCGATTTTCTCAGTTATTTCCCTAATAGTCTGCTTAAACATCCTTATAAACAAAATTCTGAACTCTGTATCTGTTAGCTTGCTTGGATCTATTTCATTTAGTTCCTCTTCTAGAGATTTCTTCTGTTCTTTCCTTTGTGACATGTTTCTTTGCCTCCACATTTTGGCTGCTTCCAGGTGTTTGTTTCTATGTATTAGGTAGAGCTGCTATGTCTCCTGGAATTTGTAGAGTGGCTTTGTGTAGTAGGTGTCCTGTAGGGTCCAGTGGCTCAGCCTCCCCAGTCACCTGAGCTGGGCCTTCTAGGTGCTCCCCTGTGTGGGCTGTGTGCACTGTCCTGTTGTAGTTGAGCCTTGGTTGCTGTTGGCGTCACTGGGAGGAACTGACCCCCAGGCCAATCAGCTGTGAGGACCAGCTGCAACTACAGCCAAAGAGCTGCTGTGCTGGAGACACCCCTATGGATCAGGATTTACTTCAGTGGAGCTTTGGTGTTCACCAAGTGCGCCCCTTGAGTGTGTCACTCGTGGATGTGGTAGGGTTGTAATCCAGCGTGGTTGAATATTACTACCAGGTGCACTGTCTCTGGGCTTCCGGGGAGGTGCAAAGTCAGCCTCTGCCAGTGCCTTGCCCAGGGCCACCCAGCATGAGCTACACAGCAAACTGTAGTTGGCTGCTACTTGTGCTGGGCTTGGAGGTGTCCAGGAGAGGCCAAGCTATGAGCCAATGCAGGCTACCACTAGTGCCAGGCCTGGGGCCGCTTATCAAGCTGTATGGGGCATGCTGCTGCTTGTTTGAGAGATTTTAGGAAAGTCCTAAGCATGAGGCTAGAGAGACCACTTGCATAGAACAACCCCCTGGAAATGGCCTGGATGAGCTTGCAGGTAGGAGGGGCAGGGCCTTTGGGAATCATGGGGTGGGGCCAAAGGTGTGAGTCAGGTGCTGGTGATGCAAATATGGCGCCTGCCTGCCAGCTGTGTTGGGGGAGGGCTCGCCAAAGGAGCCATGGCCTCTGCCAGCTCTTCTGCCTGGGAGGAAGCTGCCCCTCCACCTCTCGCCCAGATTTCAGGCAGGTTAGTTCCTCCCCAAGTTTCCCAGGTTCCTTTCAGGCTGCTGCCCGACGCTTGGGCTCAGAGGGAGTGCATCTGAGTGTGTCCATGCGTGGGCCCCTTAATAGAAGCTGCTGGGCCTCCCGCAGCCTCCGTGACCCTCAGCGACAGTCCCCGCTGTTTTCACAGCCCAGAGTTGTGGGGACGTCTCTTCCCGGCCCTGGAGCCCTGGGCTGGGGGCCTGCTG